GAGGAACCAGTCCCTGGAGAAGGACTGGTGAAAATGAAATTGAAGAATTCTACCAAGTTCTTCCGTCTGAAATCAACCAAACATGCAATCAAAACACATTGATAGTTACTGGTGATTGGAATGTGAAGATTGGAAACAAAGAAGAAGGATCAGTTGTTGGAAAACACAGGCTTGGTGATAGAAATAATGCTGGAGACAGAAAGAATTTTGTAAGACTAACAACTTATACACCATATATAAATAACATAAAATACCATCAGTCAAAACAATTGGGCAGACTGTGGAACAGATCAGTAATTTCTAATATGTAATCAGGTTAAAGCTGAAGAAAATTAAAACAAATCCATGAGAGCCAAAATATAACCATGAATATATCCCACTGAATTCGCATACCATCTCAAGAAGAGATTCAACCAAAGACCAAAAGAGTTGTTGGATGACATCAAGAATATCATATAGAAATCAAAGCAAACGGCCATTAAAAAGACAGGAAAGAAAGAAAAGACCAAAATAGCTATCAGAAGAGACTCTGAAACTTGCATTTGAGCCTAGAGAAGGTAAAGCAACTAAAAGAAATGATGCAGTAAAAAGAGCTGAACAGAAATTTCAAATGGCAGCTCGAGAAGACAAAGTATTATAATGAAATGTGCTTCTTAAAGAACTGAAGAAAAATTCAAGCCTCAACTTGTAATATTGAAGAATTCTGCTGGCAGAATATTGAAAGATGTAGAAAACATCAAAAGGAGTCAGAAGGAATACACAGAGTCACTATACCAAAAAGATATGGTCTATATTTGACCACCCTAAAATGCAATATATGACCAAGAATTGATGGTACTGAAGGAAGAATTCCAAGCTGCACTGAAAGCATTGGTGAAAAACAGGACTCCAGAAATTTACAGAATACAAATGGAACTCTTACAACAAACTGAAGAAGCACTGGAGGTGCTCACTCATTTATGCCAAGAAATCTGGCCAACCAAGTGGAAGAGATTCATATTTGTGACTATTCTTAGTACAGGTGATCTAACAGAATGCAGACATCATAGAATATCATTAATAGCATATTCAAGTAAAAGATTTCTGAATATAATTCATAAACAGTTTTAACAGTACCTTGATAGAAAACTCTTAGAAATTCAAGCTGGATTCAGAAGAGGACGTGGGACTAGGGGTATCACTGCTGATGTCAGATGGATCTTGGTTGAAAGCAGAAAATTCCAGAAATGTGTTTACTTGTGTTTTACTGACTATGCAAAGGTTTTTGACTGTGTGGATCACCACAAGCTATGGCTAACACAGTGAAGAATGGGTATTAGCAATCTAATTGTTCTGATGAGGAACCTGTACATAGACCAAGAGGCAGTTGTTTGAACAGAACAAGGGTATACCAAATGGTTTTAAATAAGCAAAGGTTTGTATCAAGAATGTATCCTTTCACCAAATTTATTTAATTTGTATGCTGGGCAAATAATCCAAAAATCTGCACTATATGAAAAGCATGACATCATGATTGAATAAGACTCATTATCAGCATGTGATATGCAGATGATACAATCTTGCTTGTTGAATGGAAAAAAGACTTCAAATACTGAAAATCTGTACAGCTTAGTATAGATTTCACCTCAGTGTAAATAAACAAAAATCTTCACCACTGGACCAATAAGTAACATCATGATAAATGGAGAAGAGGTTAAAGTTTACAAAGCCTTCATTTTGCTTGGATCCACAATCAATACTCATTAGGAAAATCTGCTGTAAAAACCTCTTTAAAGTGTTTGGGGACTAAGGTGCACCTGACCCAATCATGGTATTTTTCAATAGCTTCATATGCATGTGAAAGTTGGACAATGAATTAAGGAGGATGTCGAGGAACTGATGCACTTGAGTTGTGCTGGAGAAGACCATTACAAGTACCACTGACTGCTAGACAAACCAACCTTCTGCTCCTTAGAAGCCAGGATGACGAAACTTTGTCTCTCATATTTTGGACATGTTATCGGGAGAGACCAGGGGAGGGTCAGGGACTAAGAAGAAGACCGTCAAATTAGATGGACTGACACAGTGACAGCAGCAGTGATCTCAAACGCAGCAATTGTGAGGATGATGCAGCACGGGAGAGATGTTTTTCTGAGGTGCACAGGGTCGCCAGAGTTGGAACCGACTCAATGGCACCTAACGACAGATTATTTGGTGTGGCGTAGCTCGGGGTTTGGGTCAACTCTACTGATCCTCCGTTATGCTGTTTTTAAATGTTGTCCAGTCGGTTCCAACTCATAGCGACGCTGTATAGGATTTCTGAGGCTGGTGAGTTTGAACCAGCGATCTTGCGGTTTGCAGTCCAATGCTTATCGCACAGCGCCACTAACGGACCTGGATTTATCAGACGACGACGGCACTCCAGGCGTCCTGTAGGATAAGCACTGGACAGGTAAACTGCAAGGTCGACGGTTCAAACCCACAGCTGCTCCTCGGAAATCCTATACAGAGTCGCTATGAGTAGGAACAGACTCCGAGGCACATAATAACAACAGGAACAATCCAAGAGGGACTTCTCCACGACTGTGGGAACAAGTCTAGGGAGGTTACCGCCTCCAAGGTCCTGAGAAAAAAAAAGTCTGTGGAAGACGGGGTCCAGCGCTCACTCTCACCGGCTTTGTCCTTTCGACCTCTCCCGCCCGCCGGCCGGGCTTCTCCCTGAAGATGTCTGAAGACTGTAGCTCCTCCTCCGGAGAGGCTGTGTGGCCAGCCCGTCGGCAGAGGCGCTGGCGTCCGGCGTCCGGCGTTCGGCGTCCGGCTGTCGGAGCCCCGCCCGGGAGCTGCGGTGGGGGAGGGGCGGCGGTGGTGGCTCGCGCTGTGACTAGTTTCCCAGAATTCCCAGCGGCTGTGGGGAAAGTTTACGAGACGTAGGCGGCCGTGGCGGCGGCGGCGGTGGTAGCGGTAGCGGTTATTCGGCGGCCCGGGGCGGACCATGGCCCTGGCCAGGCTTCCCTGGCCTCTCCTCACGGCGTCCCCAGGCAGCGTCGCGGAGTGGGCAGACTTCCGGGAAGGAACTGACACGCGGCTGAGAGGCGATCGGCGCGCTTAGCGCCCAGAACATGCGGCAGTCCCTACGGGCGATCCCGGGCTGCGGAGAGGCGGCGGCGCCGGGAGAAGCGGCGGAGACGGACCGGGCCCGGCGCGCAGCCCTAAGGGAGGCTGTTTGGCGCGGCCTCGGGCCTCGTCGAGAAGGATGCTGTCCCGAAAGAAAACCAAAAACGAAGGGTCCAAGCCGGCCGAAGTGCAGGGGAAGTATGTGAAGAAAGAGACGTCGCCGCTGCTACGGAGTGAGTGTCGGGGGATGGGGGTGGGCGCACCCACCTGGTCCGGGCGGCGGCCGGGACCCGGGTGGGAGCTTATTAGATAGAGTTCGGTGCGTCTTCCACTTGGCCTCTGAGAAGTACTGAGTTCTGTTTTATAGTGCCTGAAGTGGTGTTCTTTCTTGGAAAGACAGCAAGAGAGTAAGTAACTTAGGCTAGTTTTTTCTCCTGGATGGAAGCCCCTAAAAATAAGAAGTCTCCCTTTCTCCATGGCATTGTTGGTTTTGATAATTGGACAAGACTCTAGGAAACGCTTAAATTGCTGATACTCTGACGTTTTAAAAGCAAAAGTTATTAGACGGGGACTCACTTTTTTCCTTGTGTAGACACACAGTACGTCAAGATGCGCCTTGTGTTTGCAAACATTGCAGGTGTCACTCTCCGGTGAGATCTCTAGGGGGAAATTCCTTAGCTCTGCTTCTGGATGCAGAGATGAGTTAAAATGCAGTCTGTTATCATTGTAGCTGCTACCCTGCTACCCAAAGCCCCATCACTCTTAGATCTCAGACCGTCGTTTGTTTTTGGCTATGATGAAAAACAACAGAGTGAAAAAAAAAAAAAATTAGCTGTGCTTCCAATGTTGTTGTTAAGTGTCCTCCAGTCATTTCCCACTCATAGCGTCCCTGTATAGAGTTTCCGAGGAGCGGCTAGTGATCTTGAACCGCCGACCTTGTGGGCCAGTGCTTATCCTACAGCGCCACACCAAAACTCCAATAAAGACCAGCAAACCAAAAACCGAACACTGCTGTAGAGTCGATTCAGACTGGTGGAGACTCAGTAGGACAGATAGAACTACTGGCCCACAGTGTTTGTTGTTGTTAAGTGCCGTGGAGTCGATTCTGACCCATAGCGCCTCTGTAAAGGGTTTCGGAGAAGCAGCTGGTGAGCTTGAACCGCTGACCTTGCAGTGTGGCACATTAACCCACAGCGCCACACCAGAAGTCCCCACAGTGTTTACAAGACTGAATCTTTAAGGAAGCGATTGCCACAGTTTTCTCCCGCCGAGCATCTGTTGGTGAAAACCACTGGCCTTTAGCTGAGGGTTTTGATGACTACGCCACCTTGACCCCTATAAAGATGCCCGAAAGACTCCAGAAAAGGCAGAATTCAAAATGATTTCTACCTAATTTTAGGAAAATTACTTAACTTTTAACTTTAATAGGATGTAACACACACAGACACACCTGCGCTCCATTTGTCTCCTTGGTTTAAGATTTGACTGATTTTTCTAATTGAATCTTTTAAATTTGGAATTTTTGCGTTTGTGTTTTGAGCCTTTTAGAAGTAAGTTAATGTTCTGGTGCTTGTACTATGTTCCTTTGTGTAAGTTTCCTTCTTGGAAGCTCTTAGTAACCTTGTGACTTAGATATTACCTCATTTTACAGTGGAGAATGCTGTTCATAGTGGTTTCTAGTACTTCCTAGTATCACACAAAATAGGGTAGAGAGCATGTTTTTCCATTACAATCATGTCTTCAGAAGTCCAAATGTATATTGTAGCAGTGCTTTCTGAGGGAACAGCAAATCGATCCTTTGGGATTCATAAATATCCTGAAACTTTATCTTTAAACCTTTTTAATAGCTTTCTTTTTTAGTTATACATGTTAAGATTTTTTTAAATGATAGATCACAGAGCAATTTCCTACAAATAAACATCATGTAAAGTTTTGAAACACATTTGCTTCACCTCTCTAATCAGATAACTTTTGTTACAGTGTTTTTTTTTGTTTCATCAAGTGTTGAGTTTGGTTTATTTGGATATTAATTTCTGTACAGTGTTAACTTCTGAAGGTTATTATTATGAATGTTCTCTAATACTGCGTTTATAAAATGTATAACAATTCTGCTTCCTTCATATTTTAAAAGTATTTGTTTTATAACAATATCAAACCTATTTTCAAGTATGGTACCATATGTTGTTGTTAAGGACCTTGGATTCAGTTCCAACTCATAGTGACCCTGCTCAGGGTTCCTGAGTCTGTAAATCTTTATGGGAGCAGAATGCCTCATCTTTCTCCCACGGAACCGCTGGTAGGTTTGAACTGCTGACCTTGAGGTTGGCAGCCCGACTCATAACTGTATGAGGGGACTATAAAAAGTTTGTGGAAAATTGGAAATAAACAATAATGGAAAGTTTCCACAAACTTTTTGAAGCCCCCTCATATCCTGAAAACTATTGTTTGATTGTTATCTTATGTTTTGAATTATAATTACTTGCTCTTAAAGGAGCAATAGTTTCAGTGTTGATTTTTTTAACAGTATTTCAACATTTGTGTGTCATTTAGAAATAAGATCCTTTTATTTTCATGTCTAAAGTTTTAACTTTTAGTCTTTTGTTCTAGGCTATTTCAAGAGTAGAAACACAGGGTTAATAATTTAAATCTATTTTAAAAGGCATTCAGTTTTACATGTTTGGGATTAGCATTATGTTTTGTTCTATTGTTAGAATTATGTTTGCTTAAAGAAGGGCTCTTAGCAGTTTATAAATAAAACAGACTAATCTCATAAATCATATAAACTATATTTAGATTAATAAGATTGCTTATTGCTTCCTACTTTACACATTAATTTCTTAAATATTACATCAATACATACTTATATTTAAATATATTGGCATTTTGTTCATATTATCTGGTAACATACACAATATAAGGGATCCTAGCCATGCAGTGGGTGAAGCACTTGGATGTTAATTATAATACAGTTTGAAGTCACCAGCTGTTGTACAGGAAGAAGATGTGACAGCCTGTTTCTGTAAAGATTTCAGCCTTGGAAATTCTGTGGGACAGTTCTCCGCTGTCCTATAAAGTTGCTATGATTCAGAATGGACTGCAATGCAATGGCTATGAATGTTGAATACATTTGAATCTAGCAGAGCTTGCATGTATGTATAGCAAACACATTCGTGCAAATTATAAATTCATTTGAATGGGAAAGTTTAATCAGACTCTGTTTAAAAATACCCAAGTACTAACTTAAATCAAAATTTTAAATGCATCTTTCTTAAACCTATTGAAATGTTGCATTTTGAGGTAGTAGATGTAAATGAACAACTTTTGGAAAGTGTGTTTAGTATTTATTGAATTGGTCATTTTATTTTTGTATTATTTTAGATCTTATGCCTTCATTCATCCGGCATGGTCCAACAATTCCAAGACGAACTGATATCTGTCTCCCAGATTCAAGTCCTAATGCCTTTTCAGCTTCTGGAGATGGAGTAGTTTCAAGAAACCAGAGTTTCCTTAGAACTCCAGTTCAAAGAACACCTCATGAAATAATGAGAAGAGAAAGCAACAGATTATCTGCACCTTCTTACCTTGCCAGGAGTCTAGCAGATGTCCCTGGAGAATATGGCTCTTCTCAGTCATTTTTAACTGAAGTTAATTTTGCTGTTGAAAATGGAGACTCCAATTCCCGATTCTATTATTTGGATAATTTTTTTAATGGCCCATGTAGGCGTCCAGTTGGTGATCGTGTACATGAAGACTACAGATATTATGACTACAACCACGATCTGTTCCAAAGAATGCCACAGAATCAGGGGAGGCATGTTTCAGGTGACTTAAAATTTTAAATACGTTTGTTTGTACTAATGTATTAGTAGTGTTTCAATGAAAAAAATGTTCTTTTCTAGGTTTTCTTGAGAAGTCAGCAATACTTGTAGTGAAATACTTTTTAATTTCATGAGTCTTGCTAAACCAGGTTGGATTTTAGATTAACAAGGGATAGAGGAAGGACATTTTTGGTGGAAAATTGGGAGTAGCATGATGACACTAGGCGTAAGTATGATATAAATCCAAGGGACAGTATATATAGTTCTGACAGGTTTAAGGAGCCATCATGTGATGTGGGATAAAGGTTTGTGGTCCTAGAATTTAGATTTGAGTTAAACAGAAGCAATTGCCCATTTCCCAGTGACTAATGGTTTTATGAAAGCTGTACTTAAAATTACCAAAAACCAAAACCACTGTCATCGATTCTGACTCATAGCAACTTGTAGGACAGAGTAGAACTGCCCCCTAGGGTTTCTAAGTTTTAAATCTGTACGGAGGCACACCACCCCATCTTTCTTATGTGGAGCAGCTGAACACTTACAACCACTGTTCCGACAGGACTAGTAAGGAAGATTGTTGTTGTTAAGTGCTGTCAAGTCTATACTGACGCATTGTGACCCTGTATAGAGTTTCCAAGGCTGTTAATCTTTACAGGAGCAGAAAGTCTCATCTTTTTCCATTGAGCTGCTGATGGATTCAAACTGCTGACCTTGAAGTTAGCAGCACAACATATAACCTATTACACTACCAAAGCTCCTTAGTATGACTCGTTGTTGTTAGGTGCCATCGAGTTGGTACCTAACTCATAGTGACCCTACGTACAACAGAATGAAACACTGCCTTGTCCTGGGTCAACCTCAGAATCGTTGCTCTGCCTAAGCCCAGTACTGCTGCCACTGTGCCAATCCATTTCATTGGGGTCTTCCTCTTTCTCTCCAACCCTCCATTTTACCAAACATGATATCCTCTCCAGTAACTAGTCTCTCCTGGTAATATGTCCAAAGTATGAGAGACAAAGTCTGGCCAAAGTTGAAGTCTGGCTCATAGTGACTCTGTATTGGGTTTCTAAGGAACAGCAGTTGAGTTCGAACCTCCTACCTTAAGGTTCACAGTGATCTTGTGGTTGAATGTTTATCCTTCAGCACCACACCAGGAGAAGAATATTAGTGAGTATTCTAAGTAGATTCCTAGAGATGGACGATTGCAAGTACCAGTGATAATGGAGAAGAAAAGTAAAATCAATGATGCTTTTGAAGGAAAAAATAATACTTAATTTTAAGTTTCCCATATTTCTGGAGAGTCCTGGTGTAGCGCTGTAGAATAATCACTGGACTGCTAATTGAAAGGTTAGTTCAAACCCATCAGCTGCTCCTTAGAAATTCTGTACAAGATTACTGTAAGTAGGAACAGACTTGAGAGCATAAAACAACAACATACCTATTGAGTAGATTCTAATTCAGCAACCCTATAAGATAAGGAAGACCTGTACCATAGTGTTTCCAAGGCTATAAATTTTTATAGACACTATTTATCTGTTACAAGCAGTGGTGGAGTGATTGGTGGGCTCAAACTGCCAACTTTCTAGTTTGCAGCCGAGCACTTTATTGTACCACCACACCAGGTCCTCTGGTAATTATGGGTTTACGCTCTGTCATCAAGTCAATTTCAACTCATACCCAAACCAAAACTGAACCTACTGCCATCAAGTCAACTCTGACTCAGTATATGTAAGACTATAAGCTGTATGGGAGCAGACAGCCTTAGCTTTGTGCCACAGAACACAAAGTAACTGGTAGGTTAATTAGTAGCTCAGTGCCTAACCCACAGTTCACCAGGGCTCCTTTGTTACCTGTTGGTTGTTAAGTGCCGTCAAATGAAACCTGTATAGGTTTTCCAAGGAGTGGCTGGTGAGTTTGAACCACCAACCTTGCAGTTCAAACCGTCTTTACGTTGAGTGCATTACCCTGCAGAGCTCACACCAGGACTCCTTGTTATCTGTTTGTTCTTGCTGTTAATTGCCGTAGATTCTGTTGCAACTCTGTGTAGGATTTCCTAGGAGTGGCTGCTAAGTTTGAACTTTGCAGTCCAGTACATTATCCTGTAGTGCCACACCAGGACTTGGTACCGGAGAAAGTAAATCACTACATTTTTTTAAATTAGGAAAAGTGTGTAGTAGTTGGTTGTTGTTTTTTATTGTTTAGTGCCACTGAGTCGTCTCTGACTCACAGCGACTCTGCGTATGGTGTCCCAAAAGTGACTGGTGTGTTTGAACTGCTAAATTTGTAGTTAGTCCAGTAATTTATTCCACAGTGCAACTTATTCTGTGAATGCTTCTTTTAAGGTCTTTCATTGGGACATTGAAGTAGAGAGGTTTTCTAGGCATGCAGAACTGCTATAATGAGCATGTATGAATACCTTTGTTGTTTTTAGTGAACTTCTAGGTTAAAGGATGAAGACAGTTGTAAACTTCAGTGTTTTCTTTGGTGATTTTTAATATTGTGTGGTTCTAAAGCTCAGAGGACACATTTGGTGTGGTGTGGCACTGTGGGTTAATGTGCTGGACTTGCAAAGTCTGTTTGAACCCCAAGGTCAGCAGATCAACTTCACTTGCCAAGCTCCTTGGAAACCCTATTCAGGGTCACTATGAGTCGGAACTGAGCACTTAACAACATCATCATCAACAACAACAAAGCTCAGAAATAAAGTAATCTAAGTAAATGGTGGTGGTGGTGTGCCACTGTGTCAGTTCCCTGTACAAGGTTTCCAAGGTTGTACATCTTTACTGGAACAGAAAGCCTTATCTTTGTCCCGAGGAACACCTAGTAGATTGAAACTACTGTTAGCAGCCCAACTCGTAATCCACTGCACTACCAGGACCCCTTATCTAAGTAAATAGTTGTTGTTGTTAGGTGCCATCGAGTCAGTACCGACTCATAGCGACCCTATGCACAACAGAATGAAACACTGCCCAATCCTGGGCCAACCTCACAAGTATTGCCATATCTGAGCCCATTGATGCTGCCACTTTGCCAATCCATCTCACTGGGGATCCATCTCACTGGGGGTCTTCTTCTTTTTCTCGGACCTTCCACCTTAACAAACATGATATCCTTCTCTAGCAACTGGTCCCTGAAAGGGAAAAAACAATCCCGGTGCCGCTCATCAACCACACCTCACTCCAAATGGCCCATCTAGAGACTTTTATTCAGGGTGAGGAAGGTAACCTCTGACAAAGAGAGAAGGCTGGAGGCAGAAGGGAGGAGAGAAAGAAGGAAGAGAGAGGAGTCAACAGGAAAGGAGGGGACTTATATAGGTTCAACAGGAAGGGAGTGGTCATTGCTGGGGTGATTTAGCTCTGGCCTATCAAAAGCCATGTTGTCCTTTAAACTACGTGCCTTGTAGCTTAGCGCGGGGAAACAGACAAAATGGAGTTGGAGGGAGGGGAGAGGGAAGAACTGTAAGGTATTGTGACATTGTAACATTTCCCCCTCTTTGGTTAAGTAAGAAAAATGAATGGCCGTCTCTATGATCCATGCCCATGGGAGAAGGGACGAAGGTCATTTTTCTGTAGCTACTTCCTGCTGGCATTGGGGTGACAAGGCTGTCTTTGGTCTTTGGGCTTGGACCACGGTCATCAATGGCTTTGTTGTTGTTGGCGGTGTTGTCAGTAGCCATTGGGCTCTTCAATGGGATACCAAGAAGCAATGGATTCAGCAGCTGGACTGGGCTTAGGCCCGCAGTCCTAGGTATTCGGAACCTACAGTCGAACAAAATGAAGAACACAAGGGGCAACTGCCTGTAAAGTAACTAATAGTGGGGTTACAAAGGAAAGCAGGGAATTTAATAGAGGATTATGGAACCAACTAGCAAAACCTCCAGTAATGGGAAATGCTTGCAGTTCCAGTAGCTATGCCCGCCTCAATACCTAGCGCTGCTACCAGGGGTCGGTTCCTGGTATGGCACAGGGAGTAGGGTGGAAGGATTAAGGACTGGGCACAACTGGAAGGTTAATGAGGGATCATGGAGGTGTGAGGTTTGAAGCGAAAGAATCCTGCAAGGAGTTAATTCCTGTAGGTTTTTATAGTTTAACAAATCAGCAATAGCATGAAGGGATAAGACAATAGTTGGGGCTCCAAAAGTTAATTTTTTTGATTCTTGGATTAAAAGGGAGGCTGCAGCTAAACTCCGCAAGCAAGATGCCCATCCTCGGACAGTAGGATCCAGTTTTTTGATAAATAAGCTACTGGAGCAAATGTAGGGCCTAATTGGTGGCCTAAAACTCCTAGTGCAAACCCTTTATTTTCAGACACATAAAGATAAAAGGGACAGGTGAGATCAGGTAAATGCAGGGCTGTGGCTTCTAGCAGTTAGGACTTGAACTGTAAAAATGGGGGTAGCAATAGAAGAGTCTAGAGGTTCATGGGGATTGCCTTTTGAGGCATCATAAAGGGCGCGAGGGCTTCTATCATGGAGGGCGGCGGCTAAACGATGCGCAACAACTGCGCAGACCTGGTGGAGGTGTTAAATGAAACCCAGACCACGGAGCGGCAGGGTGAGAGGTGTCTGGAGACCAGGTTGATGGGGAGACACTGCCCAGCGGGAAAAGACTGCAGGGGCTGGCCAGGTAGTCCTAGCCTAACCGTTGGATCGTGGCTTTGAGGTGGGGTCGACCAACTTAGAGACCCACAAGCCCAGCCTAAAGCATCTCACTACATCCCAGTCGCCCCTGCTGCGCTTCTGCCCCTTGATTGAGATCCAAGGACAGAAATCCCGCCTTTGAGCCAGATTTAAGGGCCCTAGCACAAGGAGATTCCTATTTAATAGCAACCACGCAACCACCACTTGTCTGTCTGTCGTGCTGTGGTGGTTTGAGAATTGCTGTGATTCTGAGGGCTATGTCATCGGTATTTTAAATAACCAGCAGGGTCACCCATGGTGGAAAGGTTTCAGATGAGCTTCCAAACTAAGACAGACTAGGAAGAAAGAGTGACAAACTACTTCTG